GCTAAAGCAATACTTATCTATTAAGTTTGAGTTGGATTTCGTCTTTTCTGAAATGTATTGTGGGAATGAAAACAGAAACATTCGTTACTTACTTACACAACACGATGCTAGAAGGATACAGAATAACAACACTATTTGTTTTGTGCTTATTTGCATTCAAACGGCCCAATGCACGAACTGACATTATGTAAGAATAAAACCTAAAGGATAACACATTATCTTTTTCTCAAGGTTCATCCGAATTTGCCAATCTGTACAAGAAATATTTGTTAGTTCAGATTCAAGACTAAATATTTCAAGTTTTAACATGGCTTAAAAGCCCCGCCCTCAAAAAGTCGAATTTTGGTGAAAAAGTTCGAAATCCGGTTTTTTGCATAGAGAGATCATTCAGTTTCTCCTTTTTCAGAATATCTATAGATTTTTGAAGAAAGCCTAATTTTTAAAGAACTTATTGGCAAAAAATTATTCACCTGACGTTGCGTTTTTCGAGAATTATTGAAATTTCATAATTTTTTCGTTTTTTCTTTGCCCATTAGAGAAGCAGCAGAGCAATACCACATAATCTCAGTAGATGGGGCAGTCTAGCTCATCTGTGACATATTTTAACAAAGTCTAATGAAATACGTTGAAAGTATTCCCGTTTTAAGATCAACTATTATATCTTTTCCAAAAGATTTTGTATCTAAAATTTATTTTATGTTTTTTTCGAAACATGGTTTTCGAACATTAAAACCGAAATAACTCCAACCTGGCTTAAGCTTTTTCCTATATTTTTTTTGATTTAAAGGTCTCAACATGGACTAACTTTTCATAGAATGGATTTTTTATATATAATTCTTAGGCTGAGAAAAGCTCAATTTACCGTCGTTTTGGGGCGTTTTTTGAGAGACATACATACTAAAATATTTATAAAAAATCAATAGAGGCATATTTGGGTGTGGGTGTGGGTGCGTGAGTGGATTCATTCATTCATAAGCTTCCACACTCACACCCACACCCTATTTTGATTGCTCGGCACTGCCATTGCTCTGACCAAAATGTTTGGAACACTTTAGCAGAAAAGTAAATTTACAATACAAAAAGCCTTAGCTTTCTACCTATCATTTTCTCATTCTTATCACGCGATTTTGTTACCTACTACTAGACATGTACCTCATTATACATCGGTGAGAATGAAATAGGAGATGCAGAGATACAAGCTCTTGGTGCAACATTACGAAATAACACGGTAATTATTATTGTATTCTCATTACTCTAGTATTGATCTTTTTCTCTACATACAGACAATCACTAAATTGTCCGTTAGAAACACTCGAATTGGAGATGCTGGAGTACGAGCTCTTGGACAAGCATTACAAGATAACATTGTAATCATCATTGTATTATCATCACGCTAGTATAAACCTTTTGCTTCATTCATAGACACTAACTGAATTGCACCTTCATCCTAATGCAATCACATTTGCTGGAGCACAAGCACTGGGTGAAGGCTTACGAACTAACACTGTAATCATCTACGCCTTCTCATCACTCTAATGCTGATTTTCTACACCATCTATAGACACTCACTAGGTTGTATCTTGGTCCCAATAAAATGGGAGATGATGGACCGCGAGCTCTTAGTGAAGGATTACAAAATAACACGGTAAATATCATCGCAATTTAATAACTTCAATGTTGATCCTCTTTTCCAATCATAGGCGCTCACTTTATTATACCTTAATCAGAACCAAATCGGAGATGCTGGAGCACGCGCTCTTAGTGAAGCACTACGAAATAACACGGTAAATATCATCGTAATTTAATGACTTTAATGCTGATCCTCTTTTCCAATCATAGGCACTCACTTCATTATGGCTTGGTTACAATCATATCGGAGATGCTGGAGTACAAGCTCTTAGTGAAGCATTACAAATTAACAAAGTAATTATTCTCGTATTGTCATCCCTCTAATATTGATCTTCTCCGCTCACAGATACTCACCGAGTTAAATCTTGATGATAATCGAATCGGACCGGCAGGGGCGCAAGCTCTGAGTGAAGCATTGCAAATTAACAAAGTAATTATCCTCGTATTCTCATCACTCTAGTATTGATTTTCTCCACTCACAGACACTCAACGAGTTACGTCTTGATGACAATCGAATCGGACCTGCAGGGGCGCAAGCTCTGAGTAAAGCATTACAAAATAACACTGTAACTAACATTGTATTCTCATCACTCTAGTATTGATCTTCCACTCCATACATAGACACTAACAAAGTTGTACATCGAAAACAATCGGATAGGAGATGCTGGGGCGATAGCTTTGAGTGAAGCTATACGAGAGAGCACTGTAATTAATATACTATTTTCAGCATTCTGCTCTTGATCTTCTTGTTAACTTATAGACACTCTACCAGTTGAACATTGATAAGAATGGAATTGGACACAGTGGGATGCAAGCTCTTCGTTACGCAATACATAATATGCAGGTAATTTTCATAATACTTTCATCACCATCATAGCTATGTTCCTCGCTGGTAGAAGTCGAGATGGTGCAGCGACTATAATGGATCCTTGCAGTTCTTTTATTATCATTCATCAAGTGTAAAAGAGCCGGAAGAATAACGTGGATGTGTGTGTACATCAAATTTAAAACGGATTCAGTTCCCTCTTAACGAATACGACAAACTCAATCTACTAGTGCTAAACTTCTGCTTTTCATCAAAAGATATTTCTCGAGTCCACATTCCGATTCGAAGTTGTGGATACCTTGTGCTAGAACCCAATTCTTTTTCAAATCGAAAATCAAAAGAGTGTGTGGTTGTGGGGTGCGGGTGTGGTTGTAACA